GCTTGAGCCACAGGCGCAGAGCCGTACTAGGCTGTTTTGATCACTATTTCTATGTGGGCAAGAGACTTGAACAGAAACTTCTCTGAAGAAGACAGGTACATGACCTACAAACACATGAAAAAATGTTCATCATCTTTAATCATCAGAGAAATGCAAATCAAAACCACTTTAAAATATCATCTGACTCCAGTAAGCTTAGCCCACATAACAAAATCCCAGAAGTACAGATGTTGGTGTGGATGCAGAGAGAAGGGAACACTTCTATACTGCTGGTGGGAATGGCCTTTTTGGAAAGAAGTTTGAAGAATACTCAAAGAACTAAAAGTGGACCTACCATTTGATCCTACAATCCTTCTATTAGGTATTTACCCAGATAATGAAAAATCATTTTACAACAAAACATTTACACAGAATGTTTATTGCAGCCCAATTCATAATTGCTAAGTCATGGAAACAGCCCAATTGTCCATCGACCCATGAATGGATTAACAAATTGTGGTATATGTACATCATGGAGTACTATGCAACCATAAAAAGATGGAGACTTCAGCCCGGCATCGGTAGCTCAGTGGCTAGGGCGCCGGCCACATATACCAGAGCTGGTAGGTTCGAATCCAACCTGGGTCTGCCAAACGACAACTACAACCAAAAAACAGCCAAGTGCCTGTAGTTCCAGCTGCTTAGAAGGCTGAGGCAAGAGTATTGCTTAAGCCCAAGAGTTTGAGGTTGCTGTGAGCTGGGACGCCCATAGCACTCTACCCAGGGCGACATAGTGAGACTCTGTCTCAAAAAAAAAAATAAAAAAAAAAAAGCAAAAACAGAGTATGAATGTCTTACCACAACAAATAAGCAAGGAGATAAGTTATGTTAATCAGTTAGATTTAAGCATTTCACATTGTATATCAAATCAGCACATTGTACCTCATAAATGCATTAATAAAGAATTAAAAAAGAATAGACCATATGATGCTGAAAATGAAGCCTGCAGTGGTAGACCATCCACATCAATTTTCAAGGAAAACGATCTCATTTATGCTCTAATGGAATAGGATGGATGATCAATGGCGAAAAATAATAGCCAATGCTATTAGCATTTCAATTGGTTCAACTTACACAATTCCTACTAAAAAATTAAAGTTGAGCAAATGTTCTACTCAGTCAGTACCAGGACCCTTGCACTCAGATCAGCTTCAGAGAAGGGCAGAGCTTTTTTTTTGAGACAGAGCCTCAAGCTATCCCCCTGGGTAGAGTGCCACGGCAGCAACCTCCAACTCCTGGGCTCAAGCGAGTCTCCTGCCTCAGCCTCCCAAGTCGCTGGGACCACAGGCACCTGCCACAGCACCCGGCTATTTTTTGGTTGCAGCCATCATTGTTGTTTGGCGGGCTCAGGCTGGATTCAAACCCGCCACCTTAGGTGTATGTGGCTGGTGCCTTAACCACTTGAGCCACAGGCACCGAGCCAAGGGAAGAGCTTTTAACAGAATTTTGAAATGCAAGATCCTGAAGCATTTCATCAAAGAAGTATAACAGGAGATGAATCATGGCTTTACCAATATAATCCTGAAGACAAAGCACAATCAAAACAATGGCCACATCAGATGATGAAATCACCCAGAATAGCTGGAGTTATCAGATGATTGTGTAGTGGGGAGCCTATGGTTTTCTGAAGATATCTTAAAAAGAAAAAAAATGGCCACCAAGAGGTAGAAGTGGTCAAGTCAAAGCAAAAGTGGACCAAAAGAACAAAGGTCATGGCAACAGTTTGGGAGGATGCTCAGGGTATTTTGCTTGTTGACTTTTTGGAAGGCCAGAGAACTTTAACACATGCTTCTTAAGAGAGTGTTCTGAGAGTTAGCCAAAGCTTTAGTGCAAAAATGCACGGGAAAGCTTCACCAAAGAGTCCTCCACCAGAACAATGCTCTGGGCTCATTTGTTTTATCAAACAAGGGCAGTTTTGCAAAAATTTCAGTGGAAAATCATTAGGCATCTACCTTACAGTCCTGATTTGGCTTCTTCTGACTTTTGTTTTCTAGTCCTAAAAAAGTCTTTAAAGGACACTCATTTTCTTCACTTAAGTGAAAAAGACCGCATGGCTGGTATCATCATTTACAAAAGTGTTTTGAACTTGATGGAGCTTATGTTGAGAAATAAAATTTATATTTTTTATTTATATGGGGTCTCACTAAATCACTCAGGCTTATATTCAACTTCTAGGATCAAAGGACCACCCCCTTCAGCTTCCCAAATAGGTGGGATTATAGGCTTGAACCACTGTACCTGACTTATTTTTGTCTTTTTTTTTTTTTTTTTTTTTTTTTTTGAGACAGTGGCTTCACAGATCACAGCAACCTCAAATTCTTGGGCTTAAGCGATTCTCTTGCCTCAGCCTCACAAGTAGTTGGACTACAGGCACCCACCCCAAAGCCCAGCTACTTTTTGTTTGTAGTTGTTGTTTGTCAGGCCCGGGCTGGGTTGGAACCCGCCAGTTCCAGTGTATGTGGCTGGCACCCTAGCTGCTCAGCTACAGAAGCCAAGACAGTAAGATAATTTCCTTATGGTCAGTTTTTACATAGAAAACCAGAGGGGAAAGTCAGAGTAATAGTTTTAGGTTTTATGGCTGGCTTTGGGAAAAATGGGTTCTGGTTTCTATGACCTGCCTTAGAGAGGAGGGATTTTAGTTTTTATGGCTAGCCTCAGGGAAGAATGGGACTGAAGGACAGGAGGGCAGTGAAAGGTCAGAGCAAAACTTTTTTTTTTTAGACAGAGTCTCACTATGTTGCCCTCAGTAGAGTGCTATGGCTTCACAGCTCACAGCAACCTCAAACTCTTGGGCTTATGCGATTCTATTGCCTTAGCCTCCCAAGGAGCTGGGACTACAGGCGCCCACCACAATGCCCGGCTATTTTTTTGTTGTAGTTGTCATTGTTGTTTGGCAGGCCCAGGCTGGGTTTGAACCTCCCAGCCCCGGTGTATGTGACTGGCACCCTAGCCACTGAGTTACAGGTGCCCAGCCTTATTTTCGTCTTTTAAATCCATTTTTTCCTGTAATCCCAGCTCCTTGGGAGGCTGAGGCAAGAGAATCACTTAAGCCCAAGAGTTTGAGGTTGCTGTGAGCTATAATGCCATGGCACTCTACCTAGGGCAACATAGTGAGTTTCTGACTCAAAAAAATCCATTTTCCACAAACTTTTTGAAGTCCCATTGTATATGAACACCGATTAAATTTCTCTTTATTTCTTAGTGATCTACTTATACTCTATAGTCTATTAAAATTGTATACTTCTTACAGGAGCTTGTCCATTAGGGAGAGATTTCTTGGCTGTAGAGGCATCCCATGAACCAAGAGACCATTCACATTTGGCTGATGACCACTTGCTTGACAGAGATTCATCTACATGTCAAAAGAAGATGTTACTCGTTGATTGGTGAAGATACCTGTTTAGTTTCCCAACTCTGCCATAAGTTACTATTTCCAATTTGGTAATTGATACATTTTCCCTGTGTCTTAACTTGTATAAAGTCTTAGCCAGTAGTCCTAGCTAGGGGCCATGTCCACTTTCAAGATGACAGAGTCCTTTCTTTCCTCCATTTCTAAATGACAGCAGGTAAGGGAACCCTGATCAACCTGGATGAAAGTAATCTTCTCATAGAGGAGAAGAATATTATTATTTACATAATATTACAAATAATATTATTTACATTACAATAGAAAACTCATTAAAATATAGAATAATAGAAAAGATAAGGGTAAACTCTAACAATCTCTTTAATCATCACATAATCCTGCACTCTGCACAAACTAATCCTTTCTCTTTCACTGCCCATGGAATAGTCAGCTCTCAGTGATAAAATAAATCCTGAAGACTGTTACCTAGGAATTAATCTTATTTGTTCTAATGTTAGCAGGAAATATAATCTTACTTGGACTGGCATTGCCACCTGAGAGACCTGTTTGTTTCTCTCTCAGGTCATCAATTCAGTGCCTTTTCTGACCATCTCCTCCTCTACCACAGAATATATTTTACTTCCTCTTTTTTTCAAAGAATGTTTGAATTAACTCTTCTTCCTTTGGCTACTAAGAACCAGAATTGTACAGGGCTTAGGCTACTTTAACCACAGCCAGACCAGATCAGCATGCAGAAGTGTCATATCACCATCAAAGGACCATTAGTTTACCTGGTTAATCCTCATGTAATTAAATTATGAGCCTTGTTGATTTTATTTTTAAATATTCATTTTATAAATCTAGCTACATAATATTTGGCCAGTATACCAACACAGCTTTTGACTAGATCTGGTAGGAAGACCCAGGGTTGATAAGTATGGCCCAAGGATTGTAATTCTTTTTCTTTTGTCCCTCTCTCTTTTTTTTTT